TCCATGTGTTAGAACGAGAATGTATCACTTCTTGGTTAGAACTGATCTATTGGTTTGCCACGTGAGTTTAAATAGTGGTTCTTCCTTTGCTCTTGTATTAAAATCCATAAATTTGTGCATTAGTCTTGCTTAATTGCTTTATTAACTCTTGTTTTATTTAAAGGCTTGAATTTAATAACTAAAGAAACTCCTACCAATTCAAATGAAACTCCTTTCAAAGAGATGCCTTTGTTTTTTTCTCTTAAAACACGGATTGATGAAGTACTAAATGTCAAAAACTGTTAGCCTGTTGGTTTCGTACAGCTAATGAAATGAGTAACGCACCCTAATTAACCAATAAAATGTAGTACGAGATCACCAGGTATATATTCTTAAGAATAATATGTGGATGTTGTATTAGACAATAATTTGGGCCACTTGATCTTAAAAAGTGAAAAAGATATATACTGGCGGAGTGGTATAAAGCGTAGAGGACGTCCTTATTGTTTTTTTTTTTTTTTGTTTCTTTGTTTTTTGTTTTTAGTTTTTGGGTTTGAGATGCCCTTATTGTTTCGTTTGCTGTAACTTCTTAGTGGCCTTGGTCCTCCCTCACATGATAAGGTTTGGGTTTGATTATCTTGTTGTACATGAAACTCAAAGAGTAATTGGACTACTTAGAGCATCTTTATATGAAACTCATGATATTTAATGGCTTATGTCGCAACTTGATATTTTGTACAATTTTTTATCTATTTGATATGTTAAATAAAAATGTCATTCTGTAATTATTATTATTTTTTTTATCTTTTTGTGGAGTTTAATTGTTGAGACAACTAAACAAATACTTTGAACACGCAACAACATTTATTATGAATTGCATCACATATATTAAAAAAAATCATAAAATAAACTTGATGGCTGCTGCCAAATTTGACAGCAGAAGCTTTTGCCTTTAATTGACTTAGCTCCTAATAAACTAAAGGTTTAGTAAAAGAGAATTTGTTTTCATTTTTTTTACTATTGTACGTTTATATGCAAGTTTTGACATCTCCTTTAGAAATATTCTTAATTTGGCTTTGATTTAGAGGGTGTATTCAATTGAGAATTTGAGAGACTTTAATAGATTTACAATTCCATAGATTTTTATGAGTTTAATTGATTTGTAGAGATTTCATTCAATTCTCTCGAAATCTCATGGGAAGAGGTGAAATTTATAGATGCTTAAAATACACTACGAAATCTTTCCAATTCCCTCTAATTCCTCAACTTTATCAAATTCTTTAAAATCAATTTCTAATTGAATACACCTGTAATGTTACAATTTTTTTTAAAATCCTAATTGAATACACCTAGATTTCTAAGTATTTTAATAAACTATTTTAAAATTATAATTGAATGAAGCTTGAATTTCAAAGAATTACTTAAAATTCTGATTGAATACCTTAGATTCATTAAAAGAATTAAAATCTCACAAAATTCCAATTAAATACATCCCTTGGAGTTTTTCTATTTAAACACGTCATCTTATCTAAGTACACCTCACTTTTTTTTTTAAATTAAAATTTTAATTCTGTGAAATGACCATATAGTACATATTAAGGAAGCCCAACCACTGCTTATCCCACCCTCACGACAAGCCCACACCCACTCCCGACAACAAGGGCGATTCGTCGTCGACTCCTACTCCAGTGATCATCCCATCTTTGACTACTCCTGTCACTGCTCCCTTCCTCTTCTCTGAATATATATTCACATATAATCAAATATAATTTGCGCCAGTGGATTCTGAAGAAACCGAAACAACCTCGTTGGTTAGGGAGCAAACCAAACCCTAGGGATCAAATTAACCACGGCTGACCACATAAGCGTCCAAACCAAACCCTAGGGCCTAATTCCTGTTCTATAATTCACACTGTTTATTCACATACAGTGAACAAAACTTTGAAGGAAGTTTTGTATGACATTGATATTGCACCGCTTGTTTTATATGACTTGCTAAAGTTTATGGCCAATATACCACGCTTACTCTTAACTGGAGTCGGAGCCGTTGACGAATCGCCGGAGTGGGGCGCATGTATTTGTCGTGGGGCGGGATTATAGCGTCAGCAGTGGTTGGGTGTTCTTATAGAAGATAACACTTTGCCAACAAGTCATTATGAAAAAGCTCAAATATCGGTGTTGAATTGAAGGAAAAATGATGACTGAGTGAGGAATTCTCGTAGAAAATTATGAACACTTGCCAACATGTCATTATAGTGATCATAGCGTCAGCAATATTGTTTAGTTTGGCTCTTTTTAATTGTCTTGTGTCTTGTGCACGTTAGTGGTGGTTCGATATGTAGTTACACTCATTCAATTCATCATCTCCTAAAGCATTGCCAAGATAAGTTGTAAAACCACTTAAAACTTGTTTAATTTAAAGAGGCAACTCCAAAAACGAATCTCCAACATACTCAATAAAAAGCCTATAAACATAAGCTAAATGTTAAATAAATAATAAAATTCAAGGGGAACCCGTGTGCCAATTAAGAAAAAACAAAGGCGAGAAGATAATTTTAGAAAATGAGTAGGTTGGGTTTTTTCTTTTTGAATTGATTGATAATAAAATATGCAAAGTTTGTTGAAAAAAAAAGTATTGTTTGAGATGAAAAAATAAAGAGACTAGCGTTAACACATTGAACTAGAAAAAAATTAACAAAATTGTTAGAGATGCTCTTACCAGCTACTGTTTGCTTCTAGTGTTTCCTCTTTGTAGAGGAATGCTATCTTCAATAATACGTCATATCGATACTTCCTCAAAAGGTTAAAAGTGAATCCTTTACGTAAATGAGAAAATGATTTGCAATATTCTTTTTTTTTTTTTTAATCAAATGAAATATTGCTAATCATGATCAAGAACATATATAAGGTATGCATGCTTATAACTGAGAGGTCACACATACTAACAAAAAAAAGCACAAATTCACAATTACAAGTTCCTCATGAGACCAATACAATTCATTAATCGCAGAGAACCTACATCCAACCACTTGGAAAATTTAGACTTACAAGGATCAAAATGTTGCAACTCATACAACTAGGGTAAATGCACCACGAGAAAAGGACCACATCGCTCTCTAATGATTTTGTAATCGTCAACAAAGAAGCATGTCTATGAATCACCTCAAACAAACGTTAAAATGCTTCTTACTCATAGTCCTTTGTCATGTGCACAAACCAGTATAAACACCAAAATCACTGCCTCAATTTTTAATGATGATCGTTGCTCAAAGATCTAGATTTAAGCAATAAGTCTTAATCTCTCCCAAAGGTTCCTCTTGTGAGAGAGCGACTCACGAAAAACCATATTATGTGGATTCCATTGAGTTGTTCTAGAATCCTAATTCTCATATGGTTTCGTTGAGTGGTTCAAATTTGGGATCTAATGAATCATGCTTGTCAAATTCCATTGAGTGGTTCTAGGACTATGTTTTCATGCTAAAGTTTCATGAGGGGTCTCAAAATCCTATAATGCGTAGGCTTGGACCTAGCTCTATAGCTTGTTTTATGTATGGAAGAGAGGATTACCGATCTAGGAAAACTCGAGATGACATGTATGACTGTAGGGAAAAACGTTTTTAGGATGTGTTAGCATTGTTAGAAAACCTATGATAGAAAATGTGAATTGGTACTTACGTCATTATAGCATAGCCAGCTTAGTGAATCCTAGTAATATTGTGATTTGGGTTTTATTTGCTTAGTACATAGGGTTAGAAAAAATTTCTGAAAATCCTGAACCAAATTAAAAAAAAATCTCGATCCCAAACTAAAAAAGTCCCAAATCAAAATTCCTAAAATTTTCGGGATGAAATATAGAACCGATCCTGAAATTTCGGTACGGGATTCGGTATTGTCTACTCAATCTTTTGATTATATCATACTGAACCGAAAAAAAAAATATATATATATATATATATTATATACATTTGAATTGTTGCTAGCTACTAGTAGAAATATAATTGGTGTGGTCTACAGGTAGTAACAATGCTGGTACGAACCTCCCATAAATGTGTCTATTTCTTCAACACAAAATTGTATTTTTAGTTTTCAAACAAATTAGGTTTGCAACTTTTTTTTTCCTTTTGGGTTGGTTACTGATTTTATTTTGGTTACATGTTAATTTAACCATATGAATGATTGCTATTTCAATTTGTATGAAATTTGGGAATACCAAACCATCTCGAAATACTGAAAATATTCTGGAATCCCAAAAATTGGGAATACCAAAATTTTGATTTGGGATAGTCTTTAAATTCCTGTCCCAAAAATGTTCGATTTGGGATTCGGGATCTCATTTTCAGTTTGGAATTCCATATTGAACCACCCCCATCGGTACATCACTCCCACAGTGCAGTACCGCTTAGTAGGCTGGCTGACATGTATTGTTACCTACGTAGGACTTCAAATGTAGCTGTATTGGGGTTGAGCATTTGGAGTGACTAGGTTCCTTGCCTTTATTTATCTTTCATTTCAGTACTTCACTTGCGTGCCTACAGAAGTACTTTGTTTATGCGTTTTATTAAAATACTGAATCTAGTTTGAATTTCTATATTATTGTATAGTTACGTTATGACATTATGTGTCGATCTTGATGTCTCAAAATTAGTGCGTGACAAAATCAGTTTAATTCGTCCAGTTTGATTTGTCGTCTTTTCGGATTTTCAGTCAAAAAGGCCAGACCCAGTTGATAATTCGTGCGGAATTCTTTTTGGGCCTAGTAACCAAATAAAATACCCGCTTTGGGGCTATCCGCGACCCAAACACATTTTGTTAAGTTTAATTATTGGATACAAATCCGACATGCCGTTTTGTGCGGACAATGCTGCGCTCTCGCTGCGAGTCTGCGACCAAAATCGAAGGTACTGGCAACCAAAAACCCTAACAATTGCCATAACCACTGAAAATCTTCCCCCCTTTATATCCAATTCGTCGCAAAACCTAGCTATAATTTGTCTTCGAATCGGTCAATCCTAACGGAAACAATGGCGGCCGCCGACGACGGTCTGAAGAAGTTGGAGTACCTTTCGCTGGTCTCCAAAGTCTGTTCAGAGCTGGAAACGCATCTAGGGTTTGGGGACAAAGTTCTGGCGGAGTTCATCACCGAAATCGGACGGAGTTGTGAGACGGTGGACGAATTCGACGCCCGATTGAAGGAGAACGGCGCAGAGATGCCCGACTATTTCGTCCGTACACTCCTCACTATCATCCACGCAATCCTCCCTCCGAAGCCGAAGCCGGAGAAGGACGCCTCGAAGAAAGACGGCGCTTCTGAAGGTAAGAAAACCAAGTTTAAGGCTTTGGCTATTGCTGATAATAGAGATAGAGTTAAGGAGATTGATAAGGAAATTGAGATGGAGACTAGGGAGAAGCACTCAGGCGGAGAGGAGCGGGACGGAGAGCGTGAAGACGATAGGCGGAGGGGTAGGGATAGATATAGGGATGGAGATAGAGATAGAGATAGAGATAGAGATAGAGATCGAGATCGTGATAGGCACAGAGGTAGGGAAAGAGATGGGAGAGGCAGGGGAAGGGATAGGCATGATAGAGACGAGAGGCGTAGATATTCACATTATAATGATGATGATGGGGAAAGAGGGAGTCGTGCAGATCGATACGATAAGCCTAAGAGAGATGGGTACGAAGAGAATGGAATTGAAAGAGAAGATGGTGATGATAGGAGAGGTAATAGGGATAGGCGGAATGGTCCTAGTAAGAACCTTTCTGATGAACCCGAATTGTACCAGGTGTATAAGGGTAGGGTTTCGAGAGTGATGGACACCGGTTGCTTTGTTCAGTTAAATGATTTGAGAGGGAAGGAAGGTTTGGTTCATGTTTCACAGATGGCAACTCGGCGAATTAGTAATGCTAAGGATGTGGTGAAGAGGGATCAGGAAGTTTATGTTAAGGTGATTTCTGTTTCGGGTCAGAAGTTGAGCCTTTCAATGAGGGATGTTGATCAGCATTCTGGGAAGGATTTGCTTCCGTTGAAGAAGAGCTCAGAGGAGGATGCTCATAGGACCAACAAGTCGGTGTCCAGAGACGGACCTGTGACTAGGACTGGTCTTTCTGGGATTAGGATTGTGGAAGAGGATGATGTTGGTCCATCGCGCCGGCCATTGAAGCGAATGAGCTCACCTGAGAAGTGGGAAGCCAAACAGTTAATTGCCTCAGGTGTTTTGGGTGTGACAGAGTACCCAATGTATGATGATGAAGCAGATGGGATGCTATATCAAGAAGAGGGAGCTGAGGAAGAGCTTGAGATTGAGATCAATGAGGATGAGCCGGCCTTTTTAAATGGGCAGACCAGGTATTCTGTGGATATGTCCCCTGTAAAAATCTTTAAGAATCCAGAAGGGTCTTTGAGTCGTGCAGCTGCACTTCAGTCTGCACTCATTAAGGAGCGTAGAGAAGTGCGAGAGCAGCAGCAAAGAACCATGTTGGATTCCATCCCAAAGGATCTGAATCGTCCCTGGGAAGATCCAATGCCAGAGACTGGTGAGAGACATCTTGCCCAGGAGCTTAGAGGTGTTGGTTTGTCTGCATATGATATGCCCGAGTGGAAGAAGGATGCTTTTGGGAAAACCATCAGCTTTGGGCAGAGGTCTAAGCTATCAATTCAGGAACAGAGGCAGAGCTTGCCTATATACAAGCTGAAGAAAGAATTGGTTCAGGCGGTGAATGAGAATCAAGTGCTCGTTGTCATTGGTGAGACTGGTTCTGGTAAGACAACCCAGGTAACACAGTATCTTGCAGAAGCGGGTTACACGACAAAGGGAAAGATTGGATGTACACAGCCCCGTAGGGTTGCTGCGATGTCTGTAGCCAAGAGGGTGGCTGAAGAGTTTGGTTGTCGTTTGGGGGAGGAAGTTGGATATGCTATTCGTTTTGAGGATTGCACTGGACCAGATACTGTCATAAAGTACATGACCGATGGTATGCTTCTTAGGGAGATTTTGATTGATGAGAACCTTTCCCAATACTCTGTGGTCATGCTTGATGAAGCTCATGAAAGGACAATCCACACAGATGTTCTTTTTGGATTACTGAAGAAGCTTCTGATCCGGAGACCAGATCTTCGTTTGATTGTCACCTCTGCTACTTTGGATGCAGAGAAGTTTTCAGGTTATTTCTTCGACTGTAACATATTTACTATCCCCGGGAGAACTTTTCCTGTCGAGATACTCTACACCAAGCAGCCAGAAAGTGACTACCTTGATGCATCTCTAATTACTGTCCTACAAATCCACTTAACAGAACCTGAAGGTGACATCCTTCTTTTCTTGACTGGACAAGAAGAGATTGATTTTGCATGCCAGTCTCTTTATGAGAGGATGAAGGGTCTTGGTAAAAATGTTCCTGAGTTAATTATTCTACCAGTATATAGTGCCCTTCCTAGTGAAATGCAGTCAAGGATATTTGATCCTGCCCCGCCAGGGAAGAGGAAAGTGGTTGTGGCTACTAATATTGCTGAAGCATCACTGACTATTGATGGGATATTTTATGTCATTGATCCTGGATTTGCAAAGCAAAATGTTTATAACCCAAAGCAGGGGCTGGATTCGCTTGTCATTACTCCAATATCACAAGCATCAGCCAAGCAACGAGCTGGGCGTGCTGGACGCACAGGGCCTGGGAAATGTTACCGCCTCTACACTGAGAGTGCATACCGTAATGAGATGTCCCCTACTTCAATTCCAGAAATCCAGAGGATAAATCTTGGGATGACTACACTTACGATGAAAGCCATGGGGATAAATGATCTCCTGTCTTTTGATTTTATGGATCCTCCTTCACCGCAAGCACTCATTTCTGCCATGGAACAACTGTACAGTTTGGGAGCACTGGACGAGGAGGGGCTGCTGACCAAATTGGGTAGGAAGATGGCTGAGTTTCCTCTTGATCCACCTTTATCTAAGATGCTACTCGCTAGTGTAGACCTTGGATGTAGTGATGAGATCTTGACCATCATTGCAATGATTCAGACAGGCAATATCTTTTACAGGCCTAGGGAAAAACAAGCCCAGGCTGATCAGAAGAGAGCTAAGTTTTTCCAGCCAGAGGGAGACCATCTGACTTTACTTGCAGTCTATGAGGCTTGGAAAGCTAAGAATTTCTCAGGTCCATGGTGTTTTGAGAACTTTGTTCAGTCTCGATCCTTGAGGAGGGCACAGGATGTCAGAAAACAACTTCTGAGCATCATGGACAAGTATGTAATTCTCATTCATCTTGCTTTTTGTGTATGTGGTGGTCGCATTGGTTCTTTTTTTTTTTTTTTAATTTTGTTTTTATTTCACGTGTATGCAAGGTTCTGGTTTTCAGTCTTTTCCTAATTGCATCTTTAGAATTACAGTTATTATTACGTGATGGAAACGCTGAGTGCTGTTCAGGCCTAGTTTATGTCTAACAGTCCAGATCTGATACATGAGAGGGACATTATGAATTGCCATGTGACTTCGACTTTGTTTTTTCAGAGAGTTATCTCACCAGTATCTGCTCACTGCTTTTTTTAGGGAGTAGTGCACTATCTTTGTGACTTCCATTTTGTTTGTAGCTAATTGCCACGGTAGTTTTTCCTTAGACGTGCTCTCTTTGTTTTCCCATCTTGGAACAGTTGATAGAGGAGGCGCATTGGCCTCCGCTATTAAGGGATCGGACCCTCATCAATTGTCATAACATCATCATTTAAACTCCAGATAGTACAATATAGCATCATCATAAAAAGCATTACACTTCTAGCATCAGAGTCCTTATTTGTTTGTACTATAATGTAACGTCTCTACTATCACTTCCTTGTTTTAGTTTATTTTACCATGTAAAGTAGAGGACTGGTCAATGGATTTCAGTATTAGGATTTGAAGATAAAATTGCGATCTGACTACTGATTGTGGATTTCAGGTATAAATTGGACGTGGTCAGTGCAGGAAAGAATTTTACAAAGATCAGGAAGGCAATTACAGCAGGTTTCTTCTTCCATGGTGCTAGAAAGGACCCGCAGGAGGGTTATAGAACCCTTGTCGAGAACCAGCCAGTTTATATCCACCCAAGCAGTGCTCTCTTCCAGAGACAACCAGATTGGGTCATCTACCACGAGCTGGTTATGACTACAAAGGAGTACATGCGTGAGGTGACGGTCGTTGACCCCAAATGGCTAGTAGAACTGGCACCAAGGTTCTTCAAAGTATCAGATCCCACAAAGATGAGTAAGCGCAAGCGTCAGGAACGAATTGAACCCTTATATGACAGATACCATGAACCTAACTCTTGGCGTCTTAGTAAGCGTCGTGCTTGATATGTGTTTCATATGCTCCATCAGCATGAACTCGGTCGTGGACTTGCATTGATTTTGCATCAGAGTGTACTCTGTATATATCTTGTAATTCCTCAACGTAATTTTTTTAACATCGAGGACGAGGACCGTGAATGGTAATTATGGAGAATGTTGCTCTACAAGTTTAGTATATGTGTCTTGTAGCTGAATTTTGAATGTTGAGGTCTGTTCGACTGTTTCTGCTCACACTCATGAATTTTGATGTACCATTTATTTTCTTAATGTTCAACTTGTGTCTTCCCTATTTTGATTCGCTTAAAATTACCCAGATTGGATCGAAAAATCTAAAGGGCTGTTGATAACCTTTTTGGTTCTAATTTATGGTTTTCAATGATAACGAATGATACCAACCAAACCCTACATTATCTTAGTTCCTATTTACTAGTTTAAAACTTGAAATCATCTAGGCAAGATGTTACATTCTAAGCATTCTTATGTGTAATTAGAGGTATATCCTCGCTTTCTTATCTCTCATTCCGTGGCAATTCGATATGGGATAAGAGAGATACCTGAGCAAGGATTTACCCTTTTGTGTCTTTAGACTTTCTCCTGATTTAAAGGGAGAAAAATGTCACTTTGTAGTGTGGTTGGTTGTACGTTCTACCTATAAGTGGAAGGTCTCCAAATCTCGAAGACAATGTGTTTGGGTTAACATTTGAACTTAGGGTTGAAAGGAAGAAGGGCCCAAAAAGATTAAAGAAGGAAGGCTTGCTCAAGGCCCTACACCAAGCTCAGATCGTCCATCTCAGGACCAAATGGTACTCCCCCATTAATGCAAAGGTTGGTTGCTTACAAGGGAAGTGACAACTAATGGAAATCAACCTACTCTCAGCCCAAAAGCACTTTCTGAATGGCAGAAAAGGTAAAATACTGATAAGTCGCTACCCTTCAGTTGCTTTCGAGCAAGAACAAAGCTACAAGCAGTCGAGCTAATTCGTCTATAAAAGGAGGAAGTGGCCCCAACAACAAAGACACTCAACCAATCAAACAAACAAATATACAACTTGCCTCTCAGTCAAGCAAATATCCAGAAAGTTGTGCTTTGTCCAAACTCTGCACCCTTTTAGCCATAGATTCCACTTAGAAAGACATCTTTTGTCTAGTATAAAAGCTCTGCTACTTTTCCCAAATGTTGTAGTATCGATGCTCTCATGTAAATTTGTTCATCTTTCACCCAGGTTTAGTACTCGATCCCCTATAACCACAAGGAGAATAGACCGCAAGACGTTTAAACCTTGCCCGACAAGGTGAAATCTTGCTCGATTCTTTTTGTTTTGTCTTTAAAATCAATAGATCTGGCGTTATAATGCATTTCCCAGTATATGTTCAAATCATTTCTAGTCTTTTGATGACCCAAAGTCCAATCAGTGCTCAGATCTGGCTTACATAGTGGTTTACTATCATTAAAAAGGCTAAATGGGAACCAAACTGGTGACTTAACCAAATCTGGACCTCCACCTTTAAGCATACAAGATAACAAACTAAAAGTTCTTGGTCTTAAGGCATAAAAAAGAACTTCATGTGGACTTTACCCATCCACGACAATCCATTGATAACAAGAAGTTAGAATTACTTGGGGCGCAAGTAATCAGCTTAAATACACTTGTTCTACATCTGTCATACATAGATGGCAGTGACACGCCTTTACACTTAGTTAGTTTTGATTGTGAGCTCAAGGCCTACACCTAAGGCCCCACAAAGGCACCTTTCAGAACTAACCGTGTCCTTCTTTGCAGCATCCCGACAAGCAGAAGCCAGACAAACAACTAAAGTGCCAACTCCTCAGAGGAGTTATGTGCTCGAGACAGGGACCCTTCCTAGCGAAATTCCTGCCCAAACACAATGAGTTCGAATGAAAGTATTATGGCAAGTTCATTCACTAGGGAGAAACATGACGAAGCTGATACAACAAAATCAAAGAGACGTAATTTAAAAAATATCATATGTTGTCAGTCTAGCGGTGGCTGTCAAATACCTGAGACAAAAGGACTAGTTAAAATAGCAGTGCTATTTAGATGCTCAAAGAAGACACACTTGCTAACATTTTCTCGCATACAATGGTAAACATACCTATGATAAAGATCGTCATCAAGCGTGTCCATTTTTGTATCTAAATAGCTTTTACTGTATTTGAACGAGAGTGAGAGGGCATGGTTTAATGGAATTAAACTTATCATTGTACTAGTTTTCTTTTACATCAAAAGTGTAGAGGATGCATTTTGAAGTGTTTTTTTTAGAGCTTGGGGAGAATTGGTGTGGCAAGAAAATCGGTGGAGGTTGAAGCTGCTCATGAGTGTATATGTATATGATTGTTTTCCATCACTGATATAAAACATATGTTGTTTAAACTATTGTGCTTTATTTTGTAATTGGATTTTGCGATACTCTTTCATTGACTGGATTTTCCTTCTTTTAGGAAGTTTTTTATGACAAGGTTTTAACCATTGCGCTTTGTATAGCTTTTACACTTTTATCTTTGTAAGCATCATTTCATATGTTAAATGAACACATTATTAGTAGGTTGAGGTTCATATCTAATTTGTATGTCTTATAGCTACTCTTTTTCATTTTAATTTTTTTACCGGCCTCGATATATCTTCTCTGTTTGGACTATCGAAGTATACTCAAATCCTTGATGTATATTACGGAGTGAGGGAATAAGTTAGTATTGAACTCATCATCTACAAGACCTCTCACTTACAAGTGAAGTAGAATACCAATAAACTATAGTATTAAGTGATTCTTTTCACAATATTTTGATGCACACTTTCCTTTTAGAAGAAATTAATTACTCCTATTAAGTGGTTCTTCATCGCCGTAGTAAATAGGCGAGAAAATAGAATTTGTTTCTTCATCTTTAAAAAAAAATAATAAAAACAAAAATGGAAGTAATTACTTGTAACACGTTCACTAAAAAAAAAAATCCTTTTGTAGCAAATCTTTTATTAAGAAAAATAAATACACTTAACACAAAAGCAGAAAAGAGAAATTCCTCCTAGCCATTATCCTACTGCAATAATTCTTGCTAAGAAAAACGCCCATTTTGCATCATATCTAAGGGATTCCTTGGTTCAGGCTGAAGAAGCAAATGTCACTCAATCATTATCAAACTGATTGTAGTCTTTTTCTGTCTGTGAGGATCCCACCGGAGTGCCTTCTGCTTCTAATAGGCCATGAACTACATCAGAATTATTCTCAACGAGTTCATAAGAAGTGATCCCCTTTTTTTCATTGGGTTGGGGTAGAGACTTTTGTTTATACACCTTACTTTTGCTTATTTTGTATGATGTTTCACAACTGTGTTACTTTATATTGATGAACAAAGATGATGCTGATAAGTTGAAATCATATGCTTCCGTATGTAATGATAACAAAAGCAATTGTATGAAGAAATCATGGAGGTACGAAGAAATTACAGAGATGAAGAATGAAGGAAGCAAGAAAGTATGAAAAACTAGAGAGAAAGCGAGCGGAAGAAGAAAGGGTAATTGTATTGAATGAGACCAATTGTAATGGATTACATCAGTTATATCCCAACAATTCTAACTAACTTGCTAGGTGGACAATCCTCTACATCTCTCCTTATTTCTCCTTATCATACTCTAACCATTCAATAATTGCCACCTGTAACCTTGGTACGTTTCAGTTATTATGTAAACCATATTTTTCTTTGTTACATTGGATGGAATCGCCAATTTGACTAAACCTGAGCGCTTACATCTTATTTATAATTTTCCGAGTCCACATCGTAACTGGTTTTGCTTTTTATCAGAGATGCGTATAGGAGTTGATTCCAGGTATCAGGAACTCCAGCTAGACACCAGTGGCTGCAGTCCATGTCCCTGTGACCACCGTGACCGTACACAGATGGATGCCCATCTTTTCTTAGTTGTGAAAGGGTTGTGACATTTAGCAAATGAACTGGGTTTGACATAGAACGCAGCACTCTTTCTACTACTACCTCTGCTGGATGTGAACCTGCCGGATACGCATCACCCGACATTGGTTGCGTTTGCCCTTCACATTGGCTTGAGGTTGCCTCTCCCCATTCACTTCCACTGACAAAATATTACACAACTTGAATGAGAAGGAAAACAAGAGGTTGCAGAAAAAATGTAAACAAAATGAGCAAATAATTGTGTTAAAATAAGGTAAAACACTACCTAATTGATCTTAAACCCTAAACCAATATAACAAGGGGTATGCTATCCACACACCCCTTGTTAATTTATGTTCGTTAATCTTCTTCAATTCATCCGATCTGACAGTCGAAAACTAAAAAGATGTAGGAGAAGTAAAAAATAGGTGTGTGGATATCACACCCCTATAACAATGTTTCCTTATCTGATGAAAGCGCAAGATTTCTTACCTGATGACTGAATTTGTGCATTTCAATAAAAATTTGTGTTATCAAGGTTGACATTCATAATTAATGACATAACACGTCAGACCTTATAGTATAATGCGGTTATGTTACAAACAATGTGCTAGGGCATGAAATTAGTCTTACTTATTATGATCTGGGGAAACGCCTTGGAAAAAAACTCTTGTTTTTGTTGATTCCGAATTGGTAGCAACCCATCTAGCCCATGTCATGAGCGCCTTCTCGTAAGCAACTAAGCGATCCATGTCTTTGTATGTACGGCTCCCTTCTTGAATTAGATCCCAACTGCAATACTTGCTTAACGATGTTAATTAACTAAATGTTACAAGCTAAATTTACAAATTTAATTATTTAAGCGGTTAGCTAGCATAGGGTATTGGAAAACAGGACTTACGGTTGCTTCCTTCCGGTGTGAAGCCACCAATGCCATGAGTTGAAGATCAGAACATCACTATTCATCCACAGTTTCCCACTTTCGATAGAGTCAAGTTTAAGAACTCGACCAGCAGTTGTGTTTATTGTATCAACAAGAAATGCATTCCGAGAGAACATGACCTTCATACTGTATGCCTGCAGCCAGATGTGGAACAATACGGGTTTAGAACTAGTTGATGACATCAAATTATTTCAGCTAGGATCATTAATAACCGATGTGGATTGAAAACCGAGGTTCTATTCTAAAACTAATCAACAATAAGAGAAGTAACTCGATACTTTATAATCACATGCAAGATCCTTTAATTATTTGATGTGTGACAACACACTACATGCTCATACATGGTGACACTTAAGTCAAACACGTAGACAACACATATTAAGTCGGAGTAATCATGCAACCAAATAATATGAGAACCATGTCATCATTTATTCAAATTTAGCTTTTTTTAATTTTATCTATAACCATTAAGACAACGAGAACTATGTTATCATTTACTGAACAAATTTAGTAAACGTAATATTATTCTCGTGGCTGGTAGCTAGGGATCAAAGGTGGGCCTCGCGATCTGTTTATATCTTGTTATTGTCAACTGTCAAGTTTTGACGCTGCGGCCATATTTGGGGAAGAGATTTGAAACTATGGAATCCCTAATTAAATAAATCTATGATTAATATTCCAGCCTTGCAGTTGCTCTTTCCAGTTCACATGCATTAAGCGTACCTAATTTCCAAACTTAATTGCTGGTAGACTGATGCATGAATTATTACATATCTTTTCTATTATTTTTTATGGTTAGGGAGGACCCACTACATGGACACTAATATAACTTTATGAGACCCAAAAAATAAAGAATTATGCATTAGCGTGAAGGAAAATGATTCCTTTTATCATTTTCATGTTTTGTTTATAGCCACCTGATTCAGTAAATCAACGGTGAAATAAGGGACAAAAACCAGTTGATGTGAAGAAAATTATTTCCCCAGCTAGTCCTATCTAGGGTTAAAATAAAGTGCAACAATAGGACAAACAAATATAAGAAATGCATTAACAATTAAAAAGAAGGTAAAATAGAGAGGTATCTATGGTCTCACTGGGAAGGCGAATGTGGATAGTCCTCCTGTCCGGTAGAGTTTATATTGAGTCTGTGGATTGGATGTATGAAGCATACAAGTGAGTGATTGCCATTGATTCAAACTCAACGAGTCCCCAACGAACATGAAGCTTTTTCCTCTAAATATTTGCAAGAAATCTTCACCGTTGAACCTATACATATATATACACCAGTATTAAAAAGAACAAAAAATTGTAGTGATTATAACTTATGAAACTAAAAGTTGAAGAAAGCATGCAGCAAAGGGTTATGTAACCACGGATAATAAGAGGCGGAGGGTTTAAACTCTGAATTTACGAGAATCAAGGAGGAAGGTCCTAACCATCAAGACAATCTACCACTTGCATGTATATACCTTGTTAAGTTGCAGTGAGTGGGCTGCCATCGGAATTTGAGATAGAATTTGTCGGAACGACCATTTTGTAGGCAATCGAATTGCTTCTCTATGAAGGAGCATTGTGATGAAGTATAGAGAGGATATGATTCATCATAAACCCATCTTCCTTGGAAAAGATCACATCCTTCAGTAGAGTACTGTCGACTTCCGAGTACATGATGGTGCAGAAGAGAGAGCACCATAAGAAACGCGCCGATGGCAAAAGTATCCATGAGAGAGAGAGAGAGGTTGGAGAGTCTCACAATGTATGTGACTAGCTAAGGGGTGAGAATGCATGTAGTATGTATATATACACGTGTGAAATTACATGTTTCTTCTTATTTTTGGCCGGAGATTTTGTGGATTAGAGATGATGTACTCCAAGAAAGGGGCATTTAGACTTAAGGACCTAAAGAAGATTATTTTTTTCATTATAACCGGGATGCTTTTATAAATCTAGTTTTAGTCCCCAACTTTAAAACTCATTATCAGTCATATTAAATACCCCTGCCCACTTTTATTATTTTCAAATTTCTTTCTAAAATTCCCAACTTTATCATCAATTAGGCCTTAAAAAGAGGAATTTTTATTTCTACAAATCAAATTTAGCAATTTAAAATGGAATACTTTTTTTTGTTTGTTCAAAAAAAAAAAAAAGGAAGACTTTTTAAAATATTTTGCAAATGAGAATTAAACTATATAAAAATTTGGCCAAATTTTTTTTGTGGTCCCTATGTTGACACATCACTTTCAATGTAACCCTTGTGGTGAACAAGCTATTAATTAAACTCCCGTGGTGAGTCCTGTTAGCAATTGAGGTCCAAATCCAAAGTTCCGTTAGTATTCCGTTAAATAAAATCATGTGACTATCACATGTGGATTAGTCAAAATTAAGTTTATTTATTTTAGAAAATAAAAGGACAAAAACATGATTGAATTAAAATAAAATTACAAATAAAAGAAACTTGTAAAGATAAAAAGCCCAACAGTTCCCGTATTTCATCTCAGGCTCCCAGCCACCACCATAGCCACTAGTGGACCTCCTCCACCATCACTAACCATCACCCCAATTTGATAGCACATATATCTCAACCTATATAATGCAGAAAAATCACATATGCACAAGAATAACTTAAAGAGTTAAAGACAATGGGTGAAATGCAGTATATATGCATTTAGACGGGTGAAAGGCATTATAGAATTAAAGACAATGGGTGAAAGGCATTGCAAAAAATTCAATCTTCAAGTCTGCCCTTTGCATATGAACTTCAAGAGTATAAGAAAGTTAAAGAATTAAAATTCAAAGAAGATTAAGAAAAAAATTTAAAGGTTGTGTATTGGCCGACTAGGGCCTGCATAAAATCACATTACTAATTAAAGACAAAACTGAAAGGCATTTATGCATTCAAATTGGTACAAATTGATACAAGAATGAAAATTCAAGTAAGACTAAGACTCTAACTCATGATCAAAGATGTGTTGGCATTGAAAAAAAAAACAATGGTATATGAGAGTATTAGGATTTCCAAACGAAATTACATCATACCTAAGAAATTAGGCACGACTTCACCTTCACCTCTTCTCCTAGCCATTGACGTGGTTTTACAGGTTTAGTTTCAGTATTCGCGTTCAAGCTTTGTTTTCTTTCTATAAAATCTGATTTCAGTTAAACCCTAAATTATACTATATGTCCATTGAATAAGATGTAATTTGGATTGAAATGACGAATTTGACCCTTCATGTGATAGTCACGTGAGTTTATTTAACGGACGACTAACGGAAATTTGGATTTGGACCTCAGTAGCTAACAAGGCCCACCACGATGGTTTAATTAAAAGCTTTTTCACCACGAGGGTCACATCAAAAGTGACGTGTCACCACAGGGATCACGAAAAAAAAATTGGAGGAGGATTCTCTTCCCTCCTAATCTTTCTCCCTTTCCCTCCCCTCCTATTTGAACGGTTACGGTTTAGCCACGTCAACATCTTATATTGATTTTTTTTTATAAAGACAATAAGACAAAAAACAATATGTGAGAAGAGGTGAGGGAAGGGGATGGGAATAGGAGAGGAGAGAATCCTCTTCCAAAAAATTTGGCCTAAAAATTTATACAGACTATCACAAAACCAAACAAATAAACTAATAGGCATACATAATAAACAATATACATAATAAAGGTACATGAATATATATATATATAGGTGCATATATATAGGTACAGATATATACATATGTTCATATTTATAGGTGCGGAAATGTATATATAGGTGCATATATATAGGTACACATATATACATAAGTTCATATATATAGGTACACAAATGTATATATAGGTGCATATATATATATATTTATGTACGTATGCATAGGTACACAAATTATGTATTTCTATACACGCATATAAACATATATGTATTGTTACCACTTAAACAATTTTTTACCCGTATTGAATACACATTAAGTAAAAATCTTTTTATTTATAATACTAAAAATAAAACAAAACAAAAGTTAATAATTATTAGCTTGATTTTAGGTGATATATAAAGTCAAAGGACCAAACTCAGTATTTAATCTTATACCCAAGTTTAATGAAAAATAAATCTTATTTAGAAATTATAATCTAGTTTTCTAAATTTAATATATACGAAAACTGAAAAACAACTGAAATACTGTTCGTAAGCACTGTTCATCCGATTTTGCCCTCACATATTTAGTCAAATTTCGATTTTATCCCTCTCTTTGTTTCTTCCTTCTCCCTCGCTCTTCCCTCTCGCTCGATCTTATCTGCTTTTATCATTCTCTCTCTAAACGATTATGGCTTCTCTCTCTAAAGGTCATCTCTCTCCTCCTTTGCCGAACCACGACGCTCTTTCTTCTCACCGTTGACGTCGCCCACCTCGACTCGCCGACTCCGAGGGAGACTCAGAAATCCAAAAGAAAAAGATTAGCTTGGTTTTAACCTCTTAATTTGGGTTGTGTAGATTTGGTTTGATCTTTTAATTTGTGTTTATGCAAATTTTATTTGAATTAATTTGGGTTGGGCAGAGGATGCAAATAATTATTTGAATGAATTAATTTAGCTTGGTTTGTGCATATTTCGTTTGAATTAATTTGGGCTGTGGATATTTCGTTTGAAGCAACCCCCACCAGATTTCGTTTGAAATTAATTTATGTTTGGTGGTTTTCTGATTCATGTTTGTATTTCGATTTTGGAATTGAAATAGTTAGATGGGATCAGAGGAGACGATTGGTCAAGGAAATTAGGATTGAATTTGATTTGCAGGGAATCAAGTGGTTCTTAGTGAAACCCTTTTCTTGTTTTCCTTATATTTTTCATTGAAGAGGTTTTTACTATTTTTCTGTGTGAGTTCAATTGTTTAGATCTACCCAAATCATATATTGCAAGGCAGCTTGCTTATGGTTTGTGTTAGGCTGACTATTTGCATATCTCCTGAGGTTATCAATAGGACTAACTACCAAATCTTTTGTATGTAAATAGGATGTACATACACATCAATTTATTATCTTTTCTAAGAAAGTAGTACTATATACAAAAAGTTTGTATGACTTTTAATCCCGCAGCATTGCGCGGGTGTCGTTTGCTAGTGGAATCTAAAGGTTTGGATTTTTTATATGATTGGGTGGATGAAAAGGATTGGACGATAGTTTTCTGTAATCTACATCATCCATATATATATATATGCATTAATTGGTACAACTATGTTTGTATAGCTTTTAATCCTGCAGCATTGTGCAGGTGTCGTTTGCTAGTGGAATCTAAAGGTTTGAATTTTTTATATGATTGGACGGATGAAAAGGATTGAAAGATAGTTTTTTGTAATCTACATTATCCATACACACACACACACACGCATTAATTGGTACAACTATGGAAACTAAGTTGGCATGTTGATAGTTTTCCTTAAGTTGGGATTGTTATTTTTTCTTGAAAACCTGTATTAAATTTGGTATTTAATCTGAGTGCCTAAATAATAACACCAAATGATTTTCGGAAACGCTAAAAATTACTCCCGTACATGAGCTTGTGTGAGTTTGTGAATCAATGGGTCTGGGGAAATATATTGCCGGGTACCCAGTTCTCGAGGCTCATGGTAACGGTTTTGCTCATTGTTACAAGGCCTCCAATCTAATTTGATTCCTCCATTTGGACGACTCATGGTTCCGTAGGCTTGGAAGTATGTGCCCGAGTTCTATAAAGATGGAGTCGAATACTTGTAGAGAGAAAAAATTTCTAAGTAGATAAGTCTGTTTGACTGTGACTTATCATCAGTTGTTTTATTTTTCGAATAAAAAAAACTAAGCAACTGATATGAGGATGGTATAGATAGATCGATGAGTATTATTCATAATTATTTGACTGCATTTTTCGGGTTTTTATAACAATATTTAAATGCATTTAGGATGATTATTTCTTAAACTTTCTATGTGATTAAATATAGCTTTACCTTTTCAATATCTGATGAATTGCCTTAGTAGTTTGTCTTTTATTTTTGACTCATTACTTCTCAGGTTCAAACTCTGACCCCTTCCTTTAGTGTAGTTTAGGTTAAAAATATCGATTGTATTTTTTGTTTTTTGAGGAAATCATTCAGAGAATCCAAGAAAACTAAAGAGAACTTTTTGGCTTTTTCATAAAATCTGTAAAAACTAATGTACTTTACAAATACTAAACCTCATTTGAGCTAATTTGACATAATTAAGCCTTATTGGAGAGAAGTTTAATCAATGATTATTAATGGCCAATTTCGTAAAAAAACCATTCTTTGAGATATAAACAATGCCTAATTTGGAATAAGAGCTGCATGAAGAAGCACATTCCAAGTATCAGGAACTCCGGCTAAACACCAGTGGTTGCAGTCCATGCCCTTGTGCCCGCCAAGGCCATAGACCGACGGGTGCGCATCCTTTCGCAGTTGCGAAAGAGCTGTAATACTCAGCAAATGGACCGGCTTTGACGCGGTACTTAACACTTTCTCTAGTACTTGCTCTGCTGGATGTGGTTTTCCTGGAAAGTCTGGACCCGGCAGTGGTTCTGTTTGTGCATTGCAGTTAATTGCTTGAGGATCGCCCCACTCTGTTGCACTGATGCAAACAAAAATTTGAGTTTGATTAGAAACTATCAGAAACTAGATTCAATAATTCTAATTCTACGAAATGCGTTGTGATTCGGGTTATCGGGTGGGTCGTGCTTGTGCCCGTGTTCGGACAAGTACTTGCACAGATAGTTGAGACTACTTGCTTGCTATGATCTGGAGAAACGCCTTGGAA